TATATATATATATATATATTCATCATTTTATGCAACCTGTTAGGCATAGTGGAGATAAATGTTTTATTTTGTGCATGTTTGCAGGTAGTATCATCTTGGACTTCAGTTTTGCTTCTTAAAGCTGTTGCTTTTCAAAATAATAGAGGGGCCATTCATGGTTTGTCTCAAGCATTTTTGTTTTTTAGTCAGCTTCTCAAGATAATTTGCCTCACTATATGTTTCCACTATGCAGTATACTCTATCTAAAAGCGGATGGCATGCATTATTAACACAGCCTGCAATCACTGAAGTTAGTCTAAGAAAGACCTTTTCTAACTGTAAATTAAACAAGAAGTTTGAAATTTGTTTTTCCTGCACTGAACTTATTTTTAAATCATCTAATGAGAGAGCCAGCTTGCTGTAGTGGCTGAGGGGCTGGGCTAGGAACCAGAAGAGTATGAGTTCTAATCCCCCCTTGGTACGAAAGCTGGCTGGATGACCTTGGGCCAGTCATTCTCTCTCAACTCTACCCAGCTCACAGGGTTGTTGTTGTGAAAAACACAGGAGTACCCAATATGTACACCATCTTAGGTTAACCAAAAATAAAGGTGGGATAAAAAAAATTAAATAAATCATATCAGAATTATTTTGCTCTTAAAATAATATTCCCAAGCCTAATATAACCCTGTTTCTTTTCATTCTTTGGATTAATTACATTTACCTTTCAATTTCAATTTATCTTTAAAATGGTAATTTAAAACAGGACATCACAGTGAGAGAGCCAATTTAGTGTATTTACTCTTTTTCAAATGTTACATGTTGCCCTTCAAAACAAAGTTTAGAACATAGTAAAGTCATTTTTTAAAAGTAAAAACTGTTGGTGAATAACATGTATCATATATAATTAAAGAAGACAGCAGAAAGAAAATTAGGTTAAAAGCCCAAATGCAACACAAAAGTTATAAATGTAATATATTTTAAAATTATGGGCAAGTTATTATAAAGATGGGGGGATAATCACTGAAAAAGCTCACTGCTATGTAGCCATCTATTATATATCAAAATGGAAGGCACCCCGCAATAGAACTTCTAAGGACAATCTTATGGTTACGTAATGTCAGTTCTTCAAGATAGGCCAGGTCAGACTCCACAAAGACCACTGGAATTCTACTCTACTGTTGGAGGGTATAATAATGTAATATTGAAAGCTTGACAGAGTTTCCTTCTTCCCCCTCTGATGCCAAACAGAATCAAGTTGGGGTTACCTTGAATTTCTTTTTCATCCCCTCTTCCTTCCCAGGGCCAAGTTGATGTACACTTAACAGTTCTTGCATTCTTTCTTCAATGTTATCTATGTACTCCTCTACAGGTAAAAACATATGGGAACAGGCAATTCCTTCAGATACTGTAATCCCAAGCACTAGTTAATGCTAGTTTCTTGGTAATTAGGACTAGAAACAAACAGCAAACCAGTGAGAATAATGGAAAATGGTATCTGAAGTTTCTGGGCTGACTTCAAGTAGCAGTATAGAGAACACACTATGGTAATCTACTGAAGAGGGTACTAAGGCAGGGTGTATTGAAAGAAATTTTTCTTTATCTAAGAACAGCTAACTCATGCACCAGCCTAAGCTAGTAGTAAGTGCTTTATGATGCAGAATACACATGTTGTCAAAGACAAAGATGACCTAGAAGTTTCCCCAGGTTATACTTTTGATTCTTTAGGGGACGCATAACCCCCTCCAGAATACAGTGAGCATCACTCACCCAGACTGGTAAGACATCCACTAACAGAACCTCTGACTTCCTCTTCAGTTTCTTGGCCCTCATCCAGTCCATTATTGCATCCAGCCACTGATTAAGCATTTCCATTCCCTCATGTGGGATCTTATGAAAAGGAGAGAGCTGTGTGTCATCGGCATTCTGATGGCACTTACTCTCTATCTCCAGTGATCTTATGCAGCAGATTCATGTAGATATTGAAAAGAATAAGGAATATGATATAACCTTTTAGAATCCCAGAGCGTAAATGATATGCAATTAGCCAGAAATCGCTTAGCACCACTTTTTGAAAGCAGCTGTCTAATCATCAATGCCAACAGCTGTAATTTTTTTCTCACACACTTAATTCTAAAACCTTCTCCAAAAGTATATGGTTGATGTTATTGAAGACCACTGAAAAGTATTGGAGGATTACATTCTCTCTGTCTTTCTCTCTCCTGCAAACACAGGGCAATCAAGGCAATTTCAGTGCTAAAACCAGACCCATATCATGATTGAAACAGATCTAGAAAATAGTTTTCTTTCAGAAATATCTGGATGAGATCAAACACATTGCTGAGAAAGAGGCTATTGATTTGTTTTCATAGCAGACTTACTATCATTACATTTAATGAGGCTGGGCCGAACATTTCCATTTTGTGTTAACTGTAATTTGGGATCAGGTACTGACAGGAATTTATTGAATAGAAATTAAGTTAAAAGTCAAGAGTGAAAATCAACACTGTTCAGGAATGCCTCTGACCTATAAAACAAAAGTATTCCTTTGATCTACATTTATTTACTCCAGAATAAAAATCCTATAAGCATACTAATAAGTTAAGCATAATTTAAACCTCATCATGAGTGCCAACCAAAAGATTGAAAAGGATGCAGAAATCCCCTTAGCAACAATCAACACAAATCATTTAAATGCACAACAAAGCCATTTTTTTTTAAAAATGGGGGAAAATGTTTTTTTACAAATAGCAAATGGCCACAATTGCTACCATTCACAAATATTACCTATTAAAAAAAATAAAAATAAAAAAGACAGCAATGGATTTTTCCCACAAAACACAGCAATAAATATATCCTCATAGCTGTTGTCTTTTAGACTCTGAATTCACACAAAAATGCATACAAACACAAAGTCAAATATACTCAAACTCCTGCTCACTCACTTGCTCACATGCCTCTTCTGTTTGCCCATGTATTGTCTGTATATTTACTTACCTGTGCCTTACCTACCTGCCTTTCTCTCATTTGCCTATTCAGTTATTTGTCCCCTCATCCTCTTACATGTATTACCACTTGTCCTCTTACCTGTTTGCCCATAGCCTACTTATCTTTTACTGACTTCTCCAGTCTCTATCCCACTTGCTTCCATTCTTAGTCTTTTGAAGGATGCTTTAAGATATGGGCATGAGTGCCATTCATATTTCCCAAAGCAGTACAGGTAGACCTTAACACCTGCCCTGTCTAGACTGTTCAAAGTTACAACGGCACTGAAAAAGTAATTTTACAATTGATCCTCGCATTTACAACCATTGCAGTATCCCCATGGTCATGTGATCGCCATTTGTATGCTTCACAGCCAACTTCTGACAAGCAGAGTCAATGGAGAAGGCAGCGGTAAAATCGCAAGTTGAGGTCATGTGAGATCTCGCTTAACGACCATGTTGCTTAGCAACAGAGTTGGTCCCAACTGCGGTTGTTAAACAAGGATCATCTGTATGTATTTTGTACTTGGATATACATATCATAAAATGCTATGGTTCTCTTTGAATATAATATCTGAGTAGAAGTCAACCAACATTCATAAGTAATCTGAATACAATTTGTGACTGAAGGAAAAAAATTCTACTGTATTTCAACAGTAAAAAGTCAGGAAATGAGAAAACATCCAGTTTGGATGAAAGTAAGTGGGTAATGAAGGAGGAAATGGATTGGCCAGAATGAAACCAGGGAAAACAGAAAGATACAGATGAGAAAAAGATCAGTTTGTCACAGACTTTGTGGTAAGCAAATCAAAAGTAAGAAATCACCAGGGTGGTACAATTCATGAGTAACAGTCACATAAGTTCACGTAAGTATTACAATTGAGCTCAAAAGATTATGTCAGGAAAAATTATTTCTAATATGAGACTGTAACCTCAAGATGATCTTGAGAAAGAGCTACAGAGAAATCTGGAATGCCTACCAGAACTAAGGAGAAATACAGTTGGGAGAGATGGAACTTCTAGCTCATATACATCTGTTGAAAGTTCAAAGCAAGAAATACATTTATTACTTACCAAGTATAAGAAATGGCGAATTTGCAGCTGTGATTACAAATGGCACCCCATAAATCAGCAATAATCCAAAACTGCTGAGGACAGATAAACCTGCTGAAAGCACTCCAAAAATTGCAACCCAGAGTTTTGTTCGGACACAATCTAGCCTATAAAATGGATGGAGAACAGTTCAGTAGATTCTGAGTTTCATTGTGCATTTCTAATATCTCCCAACTTGAACAAAATTAGAGAACCACATGCAGGTATTAAATATTAAAGAAATTTTGCAGAGCCTGCATAAATAGAAATATACTTAATTTTAGAAATGGAAATTCACAATCTCAGAAATATATCAAGTTTCTTTAGGTAATGAAAATATTTCATAGAATTATTTGTAGCCCCTAGTGCATCTCCCCATTGGGGGAGATGGGCAGGGATAAGTTTAATAAATAAATAAAATAAATAAATATAGCAAGCATTTGCAATTCAGATCATGAAAAGGACTCACTCAAAAGATCAAATACAGGTAGTCCCTGGGTTAAGAGTGCTTGGTTTACAGACAACCCATAGTTAAGAATGGAGCCTACTGTAGCAAAATTTGAGTTAAATACACAATGATTCAAGTTAAATATGCAATGTTTGAAT